GGGTTGCGATCCGTTGCCGGACACGGAAAAAAAAAAAAAAAAAAAAAAAAAAAAAGATATCATCATATGTATCACTACATTATCAAGTGTCAGCTCTTAAGTTTGTATCATTGCTTCTGCTGTTTTTTTAGAGGGTCACATAGGGCATCAAATACCTAAACTAGTATATCATTATTCAACAGGTTGTTACTTTTATCAAAAATCATGCCTGCCATTGGCTGCAGATAATTGCAAGTATCTTCAGGGTTTCCTTTGTCCTAGGCTTTTTTTTTCTTTTTTAATCACCTAATATTTCACAATACCGCTGTCATGTTAATTGCCTTGAAATCATTTATCAAGCTTCTTATTTCAATTTCTTATATCTATTGGGAGCTCTGTTCTTCATTACCAAGAAAATGGGCTTCTACCTGTCTACTTAAGCATCATCAATCTCTAATGTCAAGCCAAACAGAAGAGTCTTTTGTATACAGCTGGTGACCCAAGATTTATGTCACAGATTTAAGGAATGTAAGGACAATTAAATCACTGTGAGCCCACCACCAAGAATGCTTTTAAAAAGAATGGAGCTATATGTGCGTGTGTCTGTCAAAAAGAAAGTAATTTATGACAATATAAGGTGCCAGCAATTGTACATCATTATTGTATTTGATTGTAAACGACATTGGATAATCATACGTTTTAAAATATTTGAATAGTTTGTTTTAGCCTTTGACATTGTTCTCTGTAAACTTAAGGCTTCCTCAAAATTAGCAGTACCTATCTTCTTTTTCTTTTTAACCATAGGATAGTAAAATTAAATAAGAATAATGAAAAATTCTATACAGAAAATGTCTTCTAACTTTTGTAGGATTTTCTTCTCATTGTCACAGAGACTCCTTCTGCATAAAACCCATGTTTTTTGCAGTGAAACCTTCGCCCACCAAACTTCCCAACTTGACGGTACCACAATTCTTACAGTCACCTAGATGAACAATCTCAGAGTTACTTTTGATTTTCATGGCATCCAGTCACTGAAAATGTTCAACAGACAATAAAGGTGTTACTCAAAGTAGTTTGAGAACTGGCACCAGCCCACAAACTGTTACTAGTCCGTGATGAGATAAATACAGAAATGGAGAATAAGCATTTAAAACTTTCGTAGATAGAGACACATGCCCCAAAATAGTAAGTTTGTGTGTGTATGTGTGTATATGTAGTCATTTTAAATGAACTTGGGATAGAGATATAATTTTAAACCAGTTTTTCATTTTTCTCATCCATTTAAATAACTCAGCAAGTAACTAGTTTAGTTTTCCTTATTCTTAATGTTAAGTAATAAGATTCTGTTGAAGGTATATAAGTACTAAAAACTTTCTTTATAGCTGTCATTAATGTTATTTTTTAAAAGCTTGTTCTCTAAATCAAATTAATGATGATTTTTCATGCTAGTTTTTATTTTATCTTTGTGACTTAAAACATACTTCCCTAGTGGATATTTGTTAATCTGTATTTGACTGCCTCATGGGATGAAAGCCCTTGATCTTCCTAGTTGGTATGCATTGACCAGTTGACAGGTTCTGCTTATTTGTATGTAGTTTCTCAAACATGCTAATGTTGCTTTCCCCAGTAGAGCCTGGAATTTTTATCAAGAGGGAAAAAGACCTTTAACAGTGCAGTTCTAAATTGATGTGGGGTTACATTTCACAGTGTCCATATTTATGGTCACTTATATTCTCTCTCTACCCCAACCTTCCTAATTATAGTCATGAGATTGTTCTCAAAAAAAAAGGAAAGGCAGCAGGCATTTTGTATATATACATATATGCATGCACATATACTAATTATACATAGTAACCAGACTGAAAACAGTTATAAATAAAATGTCTGATAAACACATGTAAAATCCAACTAGGATTATATCAGATAGAACTCTAACATAAAGACTGAAAGACTGATAGGCTTTGAAAATGTTCTGTATGTTTTGCCTTATATTTCAAAATACAAAAACAGAGCCTTTAAAATAAAACAAATAAAGAGGTGGATCTAGTTTTGCCGTAATTTAGAACTCTAGAGCAGTAATTTTAAGAATTTAAAGGGGCCCCCTGAGACCACAGAATTTAAGAATTGCTGCTCAATGGTTAAGTTGCTGAGCTTATATTCCACAAATGTCTTTTGCAGGTATTAAGAGGACAAAGAACAAGTGAACTTCCCTTTTTTCAGTAGCTGCCCAAGCTGCTTTAAGAATGTCATAGTTGCAATTCAACATTGTGAAGGGTGTGTGGGCTTATATTTTCTTGCTGAAAAGCCCAGATGAAAGCTTTATGCAGGCAACTCGCAGAATTTGAGGAAAAGCAGTGCTCTTGACTCTGATTGACTGAATTCATCAAATATTATAGCTTTTCTGTCTTAAAAATATCAGTGTCATTTACTTTAATCCAACCTGATCTTTTCTCACTACAGAGCTACAACACACAGCGATCTTGTTCTGAGAGCCACAAAGCTGGGAATCCCTTACCGAGTTATTCACAATGCCTCCATAATGAATGCTGTAGCTTGCTGTGGTTTACAGGTAAAGCTACAAAGGAAGTTTTTTAATGGAATTAAACAAAAATGTTTTATTTTTTTACAAATTGCAAGTAGATTTTATTGTATTTCATGAATTATAAAATGTACTATTATTTGATACTACACTACTTAGTATGTCCTACGTTTTTTAATACCCCAGTTTTTTATACTATATTTTCCTATAACCTAGCGTTTTTAACCCCCCTCATTGTAATAGACCATTTAGATTTAGCTAGAGAACAATTTTAATCTTACCTCCAACTAAAAAAAAAAAAAAAAGGAAAAAAAAAAAAAAAAAAGAATTGATGATTGCTAGAAGAAAGGAAAAAAAGAGGGGAATAAATTATCATGTGATAGATAAAGATGTGTAAACCTTAAGCTAATGGAACATACCTTTTTCATGTTAGTTTTAATTTTATGTCTTGTGAAAAAAGTTAACTAGCCCTTCTCCATCATAGTTTGCTCTAAATTATCATAACAATTTCATTTAAAATTTTTTGCTTTTTTCTTAAGCATAAAAATTTAAAAAAAAAAAAAAAACCAATTCTCATGTAAATCTGTTATCCATTCTGCCTAGAATTAAATCTGGATGACTGTCCTTCTGATCTTCTACACCAGTACAGAGTTAAAGTGCAATTGTTCTCAGGTCCAAGATTTATGAAGGTTTTTGAGAGGGAACCTACTGTAAGAATTATCAGTCTCCATGTAAGCCCTGATGGTCATATCCATATTTAATATATTATTTTTCAAAATATCTAACTTTCTTACAGTTGTATATGGGATTTCTCTAAGCAGCCACAAACCATTTTTACCCCATCTTCATTTTATTGTGTAATCTGGATGTGAAATGACTTACTACTTGTGTGTAATTCAGGAAGTGCCTTTCTGGGTTCTGTCTTATGTATTGATGAAATTCTGTGAAGGTATACTTCATGTACCATCCAAATTATTCATATCCCAGGAGAAGGAGGTCATTATTGATTCTTTTATACAGTCTGCTAATATAAAAGACATTAAAAGTCATTATATGTATGACTTGCTTAAATTTTAAAATAAATGTATAGATATCCTGCATAAGGCAAGAACTTTGGCTAAGTCCCCTAATAAGAGCAGATGTTTTTCTCTTCACTATTTGGACTAACACATATGAAAGAAACAGTAAGCTGAATCACTGGTCCTCAAACTTTAGTATTCATCAGAATCCCCTAGAGGGCTTGTAAGACAGATTGCTGAGATAGTATATCTGGGACAGGGTGTGAGACTTTATATTTTTAACAAATTCTCAAGTGATGATGAGGCTGCTGGTACAGTTATTACACTTTGAGACCACCAACCTAGACAAAAAAAAAACTTAGAAAGTAAAAAAACGGTATTGTCTTTCTTTTAACATGGCAGGATTGGAAGAGTAGATTTTAACTCCAGAAATACACTTGCTAAATGTAGAATGTTAACGCATTATCTTGCTATGTCCTCTTGCTCAATTTTTTAAAAGGGAAGTGGGTACCACTTTCTAAAGGCATTCTGTTACCTCCGTGAAAGAGCTTTCCCATGAGTTCAAAAACAGCCATCAAGTTATTGAACAGAAGTGCTACTTTGGGTGCTGTGACATACCTGAACAGTATATGCTTTCCAACATCTTTGCCTTAGATTAAAGGATAGTAGTATGAAACTCCTAGCCTAGAAATGGGCACAAAGTTTTAAACTATCAATTTATCAACCCCTTTTGAACTATCATATTGTTTTTGTTGTTTTCTGAAGAAACAGCATGAAGAGTTCAGAATTGACCATTGAATATTGTTGAATACCTTTATAGTTTATTAGCCAACAGAAGATTCTTATTTATCAGTATTGATGATGGTAAGTAGTTGCATAACTATCTAACACTTCTACTTATACAAATATACACTTATGTGGCCAGTTGATATGCATTCTATTACAGGCCTTCCATAAAGTATAATTTCTTACTACAAACTTCATATGCCCAATGAAAATTTTCCTACTAAGATGGGAAGTATGTTAGAAACTTCCACGTTAGACATGATCCATTCATTCAACAAAACCTACTTACGTTTCCTTATTAAGTGCCTTTGGATACAGTGATAAACTTGACCAATAAGGTCCCTGCTTTCATAGAGCTTATATTTTAGTGGGAAGCAGAAGCAATAACAAATAAAAATAATAATAAATGTCAGGTAGTGGTAAGTATAAGAAATCCAAGTAAACTGATATATTAGAGATTGATTAGGTTGCTACTGTGGTCTGGGGAGGTCTCTCTAAAAGTGACATTTAAGATTAGATATGAATCAAGAAGGACCTAGCATATTTCAGTCAGAGGGAGCTTTTAGTGCAAAGGCCCTGCAGTGGGAATGATCTTGGCTGGTTAAGGGAGCCAAAGAAAGGCTTATTGGACTGTAGCAGGCAAAGGGAAGAATGACCTGAGGTTGGATAATTGGGTAGGGGCCAATCAATCCAACATTAGGAGTTTGGATTTCATTCTAAGTGACATCGATTGCCATTGGAAGATTTTAAACAGTAGAAATACTTGATCTGATAAGGGTTTTTAAAAGATATCTCTGGCTGGTGTGTGGAGATGGAATTGCTGCCAGCTGAGATTGGAATTGAAGAAATCAATTAGGAGGCTATAGCAGATGTTTAGTGGAGAGATGATGTTGTCTTGGACAGCATGGAGGAAGTGGGGTTTTAAGAGCAGATAAAGAAATGGGCCTGTAAGAGCAGTTTCTATTAAGAGAATTGAGATTTGGGGAGATGTGGAGAGCCATTTCTGCCTTACTGATAGTCGTAGGAAAGGAAATGGGCTCCATATGCTAATAGGTCTTTTCCAACCCTCTCCACTACCACAGTTATTGTGATCCTTACCCCCAAAGATTTGTCTATGGGGCTGGACTCTTCTATTACCATTACTCAATTGGCTTCCTATTTTGGTTGGTTGTGTTAACTTGTCATTGCCAGAGGAGTTGTCTCCTATGCCAGGCTTCCTGTGCCTTCACTAAGAGCCCTGTGCCAGTCTTCCTTTGCTTTCAGGATTGTGATTAGTCATAGAATTGATTATGTAGAAGAATATGAATAGGTTTATCTTACTCCTAGAATCTTGAGGTTACGGATATTCCCCTAAAGTCTCTCCTCTTGTCTTGTAAAGTTAGTAGTCCTGACATAGATATTAAGTTCCTGTATATTAAGTGAAAGAAGCCAGACAAAAAAGACCATGTACTGTATGCTTCCATTTATATGAAATAGAAAATCAAAATGGCAAATCTATAGAGATGGAAAGTAATTAGTGGTTGCCTGGGGTGGGACAATACAGGATTAACTGTAAATGGACATAAGGATTCTTATTGGAATGATGAAAATGTTCTAAAACTGGGTCTGGTGATGGTTGCACAATTCAGTAAATTTACTAAAATTCATTGAATTGTACACTTGAAATGGGTGAATGTTTATGTAAATTAAAATTCAATAAAGTGGTTAAAAAAATGAATTACAAGAAGTTTGCTAGATGGGCAAGAGGACAAAAGACATTCCCAACAGGAGAAAAGTACAGTTACAAAAGAAGGGTCTTGGAAGCACTTTGAGGAATCTGTAAGGTATCACAGAAACACACACACAGATACATGCATGCATACAAACATACATATCATAGAAACCTTGGCTATCTAGAAAGTTAGTTAACACAAGACTTACAGTATATGCATATGTTGAATAAAAATTGATTATCAGATATAATTAGTTGAGGGAAAATATAATGGAAAAGGTTTAGAATTTAAGTACAAATTTAAAAGTCTTGGATTTACTTTTTGTCCAGGCAGTAACTAAGGAGTCATCTAACTTCTGGATCTCAGGCTCCTTTGCTATAAGAGGATGGGGTAAAGATGGGGAGGGAAGGTTGGACAAGATCACTGGTTTTCAAACTGCACCATGATTTATGAAGTAACCTCAGGGATTCTGCAAATAGAGAAGTAATCAGTGACGTAACACCAAGCAACAAAGATTTAAACCCTCAATGAGCCCAATCATTAGAATTAAAGATAATCATTATCTTTAATGTATTGATGCTTTACTTAAGAGTTCATTTGGAAAAAAGATTTGGCACTAAAAGGTATGAAAATTACTGAACTACATAAGTTACAATATTTTATAGATTTGGAAGCTGAAAAGCTGGGCTGTTGTCTAAATTTTGGCAAAGATTACCTTGACTAAGATGCATTAGGTGCTCAAATTTTCATTTTCAAATTTTTCACAATTTAAATATTATTTATAAATATATATACTTTAAAATCATGTTAGTTGAAATTTCTAAGTAACATATCTCAGATACTTGTTTTAGTCTGTATTTTGCAGATTTTTCTAATAAAGGAAAATTCCATTTATTTGTCTAGAGCCAAGCAAGTTGGTTGTGTTTAGAATTCCTGATAATGAAAATTTGCTAAGTAAATTGATGATCAATCTGAACAAATCAGGGGTTTTTCTCAGTGCACAAAAGACAGGAAGAATAAAGTCCTTCTATCTTGAATTCTTTGAGTTTGACATTTCTCCAGAAGCATTTAACAGCTTAGTTATACTGAATCAGAATTCCTTCCACTTAGTATTGTTCTTGCTTTAGAAGAATCATTTTTAAAAATAATGTTTTTCCTTGATCATAAATGACATATACTCCGAAAATTAGGAAAATAAAATGAATATAAGGAAGAAATAATGTTTTTCCTTGATCATAAATGACATATACTCCGAAAATTAGGAAAATAAAATGAAATAAAAATAAAAAATAAAAAAATAAAAAGTATCTGTAGTTCCACCACCTAGAAGTATCCACAGTTACCATCTTGGCATTTTTTTTTTTTCAGTTTTTTATCAACATTTAATATGTGTACGTTTACTTGATGTTATAGGCCAAAGAAAAATAAGATGAAATTAATAATTTCTGAAATATTTCTTTCTGTGGTATTTATAATTTTCATTAATCATTTGTGTGATAAAATATATTAATTATGTTGCAAACATTAGGTGACTGAAATAGTTTTGAGACATTTTAAAGGAAAAATAAAGGAGACTATTCCATGAAACCAGGTAGCAATGACTTCTGGATAAAAACTGCATTATCGGGCCAGCCCGGTGGCGCACTGCTACAGTGTGCCGCTTGGGAGTGCGGCGGCGCTCCCGCCGAGGGTTCGGATCCCACATACAGACCGGCCGCTCACTGGCTGAGCGAGGTGCGGGCGCAACACCGAGGGTTGCAATCCCGTTGCCGGTCCCAGTCTGGTACGGGCGCGACACTGAGGATTGCGATCCGTTGCTGGTCATGAAAAAAGACAAAAAGGAAAAAAAAAAAAAAACTGCATTATCAGTTGTGACTTACTTCAGGGAAAAATGTTGTATAATTTTTTCAATATTATGAAATGCTTCTAGTTTCTCTGGTATGAGTGACCTTGAGTGTTGCCATATGTTCCTCTGTTTATATAATACATTCCTCCTTTGGAAAAATGTGTATTACTTTCACATAGTAACAACTCATTTCCTTTCTTTTTTTCATACCATTGTGATAATCAGCATTGTTGACCTTGCAGTAGTTCTTACTGTTTTCAGAAGCATTAGTTGGTTTCATTGTTGTCCAGGCACTACTGTAAAAATGATAAAACCTAGCCTGGTACAAAGAACACTAAACCAGGTAATAAGGACATCAGAGCTCTACATTGTTCTGTAACCTTAGAAAAACTCAGCTAAGCTCTTTCTATTCTTTTAATCACTTAGGCACTATTTTTGATCACCTCCTAAATTATTGGCATATTAAAATTTTTTCCCTTTCTTTTCATTTCCACTTACTACTGCTTCTAATCACTATTTTAATAGCCACTTTATCATCATTCTTTTCCACCCCATAGTTTTCTTTTTAAATTGTGGATCCGAGTGTGCCATTATTCTATTCAAACAACTTTGGTAAATTCTCATCCTGTACAGAATGTTCAGTTATTTCTGTGTTTAAGTCATATTTATATCATATTTAAATATTTAAATCATATTTATATGATTTACTTGTCTTCATATCTTCCATTGCACTTTATCACAGTGCCATGCATATAATCAATATGCTATAAATATTTGCTGAGTTGAATTGCTTATTTATTTATCTCTCCCCCCACCCCCACCCAAGAGTTGAATCTTGTCTTTGGAATTATATGGTTTGAATTGTATTTTTTTTATTTCATTCATAAATGGATTCTCTCATTTATATGTGAGAATATGTTTCTTGTAGCTCTTCTGTTTACTTAGTCATTCAGCTTTAAGTCTATCTACATAGCTGGTATGTGACCATGTGCATAATCTTTCTCAGTGTCAGCAAAAATCAACATTACATCAATATTAAGCAAAATGCATGTGGGAATAAAACAACAACAACAAAACAACCCCAAGACTGGCATTCTGTATAGGAGAGATAACTATTCACTCTGATTATGTGGTTTTGTGGTACATTTTTTGACAACTCTGCTAGCTTGGCTTTCTTTCATCTCACAGATTTAATTGATTAGATTTATTTGATTTGATCTTTTTATTTTACATATTTTATATGGTACACGTAGGGCTTAATAGAGTCCTTAGCAAGTTAAATTTTGTAGTTTTTCCATAAGAACAGATTAAATTAAGAAATTTAACATATTTAAACTTAAAAACAACAGAAAATATTTTTATTTGTAATAAAAATTAACAAAAGCATTAAAACCTCATCATAAAGTGGCATTTTGCAAAGCATCTATGCTTCTGAAAGGAAGGAAGGATTAGTGACAGTGAGATGAGGGGGAGACTGTTAAGGTCAAGTGGTATTGAGGTCTCAAACCAAGGTGGTAGAGAAAGAAATGAGTAGTCAGTTTCGACATAAACTATATAGCTGGAATTGACAGGAATTGGCACTTGGTAAGAGGTCAGGAATTAGAGAGACATGTTAGAGGCAAGTCAGGTATAGTCAGCCATTTCTAGATAATTTCTTAATGCCATTCTAAATATTGCCCAAGACTTCCCACCTCTGTTACTTTTCTCGTACTATCTCATTTTCCCCTCATGCTCAGGTTCTCTGGTGCAAATGTTATCAATCCTTTAAGGTCCAGCTTGTATCCTGTCTCTTCAGAAGCTGCCTTCAGGTTCTCTCCAAGTCAAGGGTTAAGATCCCCTTACCAGTCATCTTTTTAAAAAAAATAAATAAATAAAAATAAAAAAAAATAAAAAGATGACTGGTAAGGGCGTCATAACCCTTGACTTGGTGTTGTCAGCACCACATTCTCCTATAAGAGCTAACCAGCCATCCCTATATACGGACCCGAACCCTTGGCCTTGGTGTTATTAGCACCACACTCTCCCAAGTGAGCCATAGGCTGGCCCTTTTACTTGTCATTTTAAACCTGTGCCTAGCATAAAATACTTGGCACATAGTAAGTGATCTATAATAAATATTTGTTGGGTAAATTCGCCTTAACAGAACAATAACAGAACCCCTTGGCAGGGTCAGGGCCATTCCTGGGAGCTTGGCACAGGGTCAGTGTATTCCAGGAATCCCACATTGGAACTCAAAATACATTTTTCACAGAGAAACCTTATTACATTTATCAGGAAGATTCATGACTCTGGATACTTGGAGTTACATGGTTCTTTGTACACTGACCTGTGAATTTGACTGCTATGAACAGCCTAGCTTCTATGAGAGAATACCTTTTTAGACAGTTTTCAAATGGACTTTGGGAATAAAGCCCATTGGTAAATAAACTGGAGGCTGTGACCTATGAAGAACATGATGAACCTTCCCTTTAGGACTCAAAAGTCACCATTATAAGTATTGGTTATAGTTTTTAGGACCTCAGTATATAAAAACCAAGAAATAGTGAGTTTCTCTAGGAAAGCAGTGTTGAAGGACCCTGAATACACCAACTTCTCTGTCTCCTTCCTGTCTGCCTCCTTCTCCTCACCTCTTGCAGCAGCCTCTGAAACTGACCTGAGAATCCTTAGGCTACAGGAAGCAGAGGATGACCAATCCCTGCTCCAAACCCGTTTCCTCATTTTCAAATGAACCACAACCAAGGCTTAGAAAAGTTAAGTGACTTCCTGAAGTTCACACACCTATTTCAGGCACACAGTTAATTTGTGGAAGAGGACTAGATGTGATTTGCAGGGTCTACTGCTTTCCAGCTCTATTATAAATTCTTTCAAGCACTGTTTAAGTTGAATAATTTTTTTTTTTTTTTTTTTGTTTTTTGTCTTTTTCCGTGTCCGGCAATGGATCGCAACCCTCAGTGTTGCCCCCGCACCGGACCGGGGACCGGCAACGGGATTGCAACCCTCGGTGCTGCTCCCGCGCCTCGCTCAGCCAGTGAGCGGGAACTGGTCTGTATGTGGGATCCGAACCCTCAGGCGGGAGCGCCGCCGCGCTTCCCAAGCGGCGCACTTATCCAGTGCGCCACCGGGCCGGCCCCAAGTTGAATAATTTTTACATAACAATTTTAGTGTGTTATATTTTACCAAACATTAAGTCTTTGAAAATAAATGTCCTTTGCAGAATGCCTAGGTAATATTAGAATATCACTTCACAGTTTGAATAATTAACTTCTTATATGTTATTTGATTTTTACAACCCTAGGGATAGGAAGGACAGTGTTTTATTACTATTCCTATTTTAGAGATAAAAACTTAGAATAATGTCACACAGCTAACAAGTTGCAGAGCCAGAATTCAAAACTAGATTTTCCCAGCATAAGATTTGGAATTGGACTCACTTAAGTGAACTGGTGCAGGCAGCCTTGGTCAGGGAGGCAAGCTTCTCTATTGTACTGATGGTAGAATGGGGTGGGCCACTCAGGGGGAAAGGAGGAGGTTTGGGAAAAGGCCCTCATCATTGAACTATATAGTGAGGGAACAGATAAAATCTTGCTAAATTAAGGGAGTATAGGTTTGGAGCAATGGCTGGAGAGAGTATGCAATTTGTGATTTTTACTGATATGGTATGATGGAAAGGAACATTCCCTCAGACATAGGTTTGAGTTATTTCCTTTTCATTACTAATTAGTATGTGGCCTTAGATAAATCAGTTCATTCTTTCTAAGCCTTGGTAATGAGAGTAATATTAAGCTTGTGAAACCCACACTGACTACTCAGAAATCTTTTTTTTCCCCCCTTCTGGGTTCTTTGTATTTCAATACTTTTTAAAGGCTACATAGCTAAATTATGAATTGGCTATGAATATGTGCCTATACTGAATGCAGAAATACTAGAAGCTTACTACTGAAAGGGGTGTCAGAAAGAAAGACACCAGCTACTGTGAACCAAAGAGAACTTTTATTACTTGTTTTGTGACAGATTTGATCCCAAACCCATCTCAAATCTGGTCCTGACTTTTTATTTTGGTTGTAAAAGGATTAAATTCTCTCATCTATGAAATGCCTTCAGCTAATTGTTCCCTCGTTAATTACTGTTTTTATTTTTTCTAGTTGTATAAGTTTGGAGAGACAGTTTCTATTGTCTTTTGGACAGACACTTGGAGACCAGAAAGCTTCTTTGACAAAGTAAAGAAGAACAGACAGCATGGCATGCACACGTTATGCTTATTAGGTAAGCAGTTTCCTTAAAGTCACAGTATGGACTTATATTGTTCTCATTTTGATTTTGTGTTAAGGAGAAAACTGTTCTATGGGTAACTAGATAGAGTTAAGAAAGGACACAGTCTGGCCATTCTGTGCATGCCACACTCTTTCCCATTTCTCCGTGAGACATGGATCTTCCGCTCCAAATACCACATGGCTATGGTATACATGCCATAGATCATGCTGCTCCCCCTTATGCCCTAGTAGATCCTCTCCAGCCTTCCATGGTTTACCCATTTGTCCATCAAGGCCCTCTTCTTGTCAATTTACTGCAATTCAACAGACTTGTATTGAGTTTTTATTCTTACCAAGCACCATTTTGCATCTTCCTGTGGATGTTCTTTCAGTACTGAGTTCTGATGCTGTCAGAATCACAGAATGGTAGATCTGCGACTGTGGAGATCATTTTATTGAAGTCTGTTGTACAGCTAAGCTGAGGTTGAGGCCCAGAGGATACTGAATCATTTTCCCAATGTCACCTAGCTAATTGGTGGCAGAACTGGTAGATTTAACATAGCCTGTTATTCAAAGCTCTTCTCGCTGTACCATCCTGCCCAAACCCTATTTCTTTTTTTTTTTTTTTTTCTTAACAGTAAGGAGATTGCAACCCTTCACATGGTGCGGTCTGCACCACGCTCAGCCAGTGAGTGCACCAGCCATCCGTATATAGGATCCGAACCCGCGGCCTCGGCACTCTCCCGAGTGAGCCACGGGGCCGGCCCCCAAATCCTATTTCTTATTTAATGTGGAAAGAGCTGGGATTGATATCTTTGTATGCCAATATAATGGTACTGAGCTTCAAAAGGGCATTGGCCCTTCTTTTCAGTAGAAGCATTGAAACTCTTCTGATTCACATTCTCTACTCAGTTTCTAATAGCATATGTGTGGAAAGAAATATTGGTATCAAAGCTTTAATCTGTGACTCACGAACAGAGCAGAGCTAACTGACATCTTTGATAACTTTGAAATGATACTTTTACTTGCAATCAGATGACAAAATTCCAGTGTTGCTACTAATGAGCTAGAAAATATTGTGAACATTCCTTAATCTTTGCTCTCATATTTATTGAATAGGAATAATTCCTCCTGCTTCATGGAGTTGTTTAGAGCAGTACTTCTCAAACTGTTTGTGGTGAAGGATAAGTAGTTTTTTTTTTTTAATATGTTCGTTTTTTTTAATTTTTAGTCTCATGGAGTTGTTTAGAGCAGTACTTCTCAAACTGTTTGTGGTGAAGGATAAGTAGTTTTTTTAATATGTTCGTTTTTTTTAATTTTTAGTCTTTTTGTGTCAGTGTCAAATTATATAAATGTTTGTAAATACTTATTCTCACTCCTGTAGTTACTTCATAATTTATTGGTAACAAAAAGCTCACATACTGGCATTGGTTTTCAGATCATACTTTGAATTGTACTGTTCTAGTGGTACTGTGTGTAGAGTCAACCAGCAGAATGTATACCACAAAGCACAGGGTCGAGGCAGAAGATGAACCCATGATTTTGGCCTCTATGTTAAGCACAGATATTCAGAACATTTGGAACGATTTCTATTTGCCAAAAACCTTTAAGTTATTTTCATAATATAGGCAGTTCTCTGTTATCCAATAATGTATTATTTTGGGCATCCCAATTAGTTTAAAACCCAATTCGTATGTCTTAGTAGAAAAGATTATAGCTCAGTTTTACCAATGTTTGGCCTTTCTTACAGGGTAGAAATTGAAAATTAATTTACAGAGCATGGATCAGCAAACTAGTGCCCATGGATCAAATCTGACTTGCTGCTTGTTTTGTAAAAAAGGTTTTATTGGAACACAGCCACACACATTCATTTATATATTGTCTGTAGCTACTTTGGTGCTACAATGGCAGTGATACATTGTTGTGACAAAGACCTTATGACCCTCAGAACCTAAAATATTTACTATCTATCCCTTTACAGAAATTTGCTCTTCCTGATCTAATGCAAAATTTTATCTAATCTCATGTGTTGCCCTCTGTATCCTCTCAGTGACTCTTTCCCTATATTATTTTCTTCTTAGCCTTACTGCCCATCTGAATTAATAAACATGAGTGATTTCTTCCCTGCTTCGTAAGAGTAGGGACTTTGTCTTGTTTATAGCTCTCTTCCTGATGTATAGAAGTCTGGCACAGTGTGGCTGTTCAATAAATGATTGGAGAAGTTAATTGGTAGACTTTTTTTAGTTTATTGTCTCAGACTTGGTCTTATTACCAATTGGCGCAGAAAATCTTTAATTCTTGCTAGTTCATTCAGTTCCAGCAAGAATACATTCCTTTCATTCTGTTCATATTGATACCTAATTAATTCTACATCTGGATCAGGCCATAAATGTTCCTCTAACATTTTCTGTTTTGGCTTATGCCTGTATCTCACAATTAACTGATATGTTTTCTTATTTTTGTTTATTACCAGTGTGATTTAGTGTTTCAGTAATAATTAATTAATTAGCTTTATAGTTTTGTCCTTGATTTTCCATGTGAAAAGAGATTGGTCTCACTTTTTTGTAGTTTTTACTAACAAGAACACCATAAGGGCACTTGTTAATTGGTGTGGACTGTGCCATCAGATATATCCATCTTGTTATCCCAAACTTAGATTCAGTTAAAGACAGCAGTGGGTAGAAGATCAAAGTAGAATGATGTAGGAAGGACAGCTGTTGAAAGGACTTTTGTTAAAGGAAGAAGTAGAAGTATATGTAATGAGGGACAAAAAATGGGGATTCATTGGAGCTCTGATACTAAAGTGTATGTGTGTGTTTTACAACAGGACTGAGTGGTTTTAAGACAGAACAGGGAGAGAAGAGTCTAAGAGGCAGTCTACCTGATAATCTCTCCATATAGCCATTAAAAATGGGGGGAAGGAGAACAGGCAGCATTTATATTTTGGAAATCTTTGGAAAGGTAGGTAGAAAATCATTTTATAGGTATTTTATTGAGTGCTTACTCAATACCCAATGTGAGTTTAGGTTCTTTTGGAATACTAAGGAAGTATTAGACATGAGACCTGCCCTTAGAGTTTTGAAATCTAGTTTGTTACTAACATGTTATGCACATGAAAGTTTAAAGAACAATTAAGTACTATTGTATAGAGAAGCAGGAAGCACAAACCAGAACTTTGGCTCTTGATTTCTCTTTCTAAGAGCTGCCTCTTTTCTTAGCTTTCCTGAAAAAAGACAGACAAGGTTAAACAATATGCCTTTCTTTCTCCATTAACAAAAGCAGGAACAGGGTGTGAAGTATAGGATGTCATGATTCCAAATGCTCAAACCATAGATGTCATCACTTAATCATCTGCCATTCTCATCACTTAAGTTAGTATGTATTTACTGAATGCTTGCTATGGGCCAAGCCCAGTAGGGATTGGTGAGACTAAACTGTGGTAGGAAATCACAGAGAATTTAAAATTTACAAAAGAAACAAGACCAATATATATGATGTAATTAGAGGTTAATAAATGATAGCATTGATTGTATAGATATTTCCAAGGACAAGGAGCATTTGAAAGGAAGTGAACAAAGATTGGATTAAAGAACTGGGACTTATGTCGCTTAAAGGATAGTTTAAGATGGGCTGGTAGGTAGGTGGTAGGAGAGCCAAGTGAGTAAATGTATTCATTAGACATTTATGGAATATCTATTGTGTACTTCACATTATGCTAGGTCCTGGTACTAAGATGAATAGGAGAAGCTTACCTTCTAGTAAGCGGAAGTAGAGAGGAAAAATTATGGCCTGTGTGAAGACAAGGAAAAGTAGTAAGACTGGTCTGGCTTAAGATTAATTCACTAATGCAATCTTATGTTCGATTAAAAGGCATTTTTTACCTGTGAAAATTCTCCCAATTCTCTTCATTTTTAAAATCAGATTCTGTAGAGCCCATTATTAAAAATTTTTTTTTAAATTGAAAACATGAAAAATCTTGCCACAAATAATATTTCAGAAGCTCAAGGTGAATGAATAAATGTGCTGAATTTTAATAAATCTTAAAAATATCATATAAAGGAAATCTAAACGTTGGCTTATACCATTAATTGTATTGGAGGCCACATTTTCAATAACATATGTTTATTTTTTCCCCTATGTGCCAGACAAGTAGAAATATTAAATAATTAGTGATATTTCAAACCTGAAAAATACTTTCAACTTTGGTTCCAGGAACATTTATAAATACATGTATGAGATTAATCTCTGCTATAATTTCCAAGCAAATTCTTTAATATCCTTTATAAGGAAAACTTTTATAATCACTTAGGAAAAAGCTGCAGACGCCTCTCAAACCCTCCTCAGTTGCACTATATTTATTTTTTCAAAAACAAACTTTGGCTGAACCATTTGTTTTTGGCATGTAAAACAGGAAGCAGCTGTTGCTCTTGCTGTTATGTACCGAGTTCCTGTGAGGATGTGGAGTGATTCTGCTTTTTTACTTTTTACCAAATAGTTCAGCCGAGCATCAGTAATTAAAAAGTGTAAAAAATTAAATATTTGTGATGCTTGGACTGTCAAGCTTCTTGAGAACAGCAATTATGTCTGGTCAGGTCCTTGTGGTGTGTCTGTACCTGCCATAGTGTCTGACACAGAGTCAGTGCTCTAATGCCCTGTAAAAAATATGAATACTTGGTATTAAAGTGTTTATTCATAATGATGGTGTTTCTTACCATTCAAGAGAAAGCAAAAGTCTCTTTTCAAAATGTGATAAGAATCTTCTTTCTGTTTGTGTTACATCCATAGAAGCTTACATTCCGGTTCCTGAAAAATGGGTAAGAATAGGAACATAACAAGACTTTTCAGTTAAGTCTATGCAGTTACCAGCCAGTAGAAATGAAAACAAAGATTTTGATTAACTGTTAGGTAGTGTATATGCCAATATTTATCTAATTATTTCCTTTGTCTTCTTTTGCAACAGGAAATAGATCCCTGCAGGATGGTCTCAGGGCCAAGCTCCTGTTTGTTTTAGAACTAGTGGCTTTGTATAACCACGAGCTTCCATTCTTCTCTATTCCATAAGAAAGCGGCTGGATATAAGTGTGAGGAAAGACTGTCATGAACTGTCAAATGAGCATTCTAGAGACTTGGGAAGAATGTTTCTCCCTCTTTAGGTGACTCTTAACTGAAGTTTACATATGGGGTTTTGTATAAAGCACTTAATTAAAAGAACAATTTTTTTATTTCCTACAGACCTCAAAGTAAAGGAGCAGTCTTTGGAAAATCTGATCAAGTAAGTTCTTATTCTGAGAGTGCTTACATCTGTTTTAATTCCTTGAACAAGTCAATAAATTCTACTTAAATGACATGAGTTCTAAAAACCGTTGAAAATCAGCTTTCATTAACAGCTAAACATTAAACACTTTTATTCTTATGAAATGATAAGTAGTGTGATAGAGTGGAAATAGTGGTAGATTTCATAGATTCAATACTGAGAACAGTAATTGGCACCTAATAGGCACTCAGTAAATGTTTGTGAAATGAATTCATGCATAGGGAGCCAGAAGACATGGGTTTCAGTCCTGCGACTGTCTCTAGTTATATACTCTTGGGCTGGTCACTCCCATCTCTGAGCCTTACTTTCCTCATATGTATAATGATAGTAATAGTCATTTTTTGCTTAGAGAGGCAATGTCCAATACAGTAGCCACTACCCACATGTGACTAAAGAGCACTTGAAATGTGGCTAATGTGACTGAGGAACTAAATTTTTCATTTAATTAATTTAAAACTGATACTCAATTTAGTTATTGGAAAACTTTTAAGTATGTTCAGAACAATGTCAATCTATAAATCTACTTTTGCAATCATAAATTTTATGAAATCTAAATACAGACCAAGTTATTTCCAATGAAAATTTAACATCCAAATTAAGATGTGCTGTAAGTACATACCAGATTTCAAAGACTTAATATAAAAACAATCTCTTTAGTAATTTTTCTATGAGTAAATACTAAAATGTAATATTTTGGATATATTGGGTAAAATAAAATATATTTAAATTATTTTTGCCTTTTCATTTGGTTTTTTAAATTGTGGCTACTAGAAAATTTAAAATTATGTACATGACTTAAATTATAATTCTATTAGATAGTACCATTTATAATGCTGATAATAATATATATATATTATCATAGAATTATAGTAAAAATCGATAAAACATTTGTGTAACTATTAACAGAATTAACTCATGGTGAAGACATTGTTCATAAAAAAGAAAATGGCTAGCCATTTTTTTTAACGAACAATGTACATTAGTAATTGGAAAATTAAGTATATATGGAAAATAGTTTGCATAAATTTTCAGTTGATCCTGATTTTTCTAATATATTTCCTTCTGCACTAAACAAAATAAAGCTAAAACTATAGCTTATGTTAATGACTTGCTTATGAACATTTTATGGTACGGGGGCAACACTGAGGGTTGCGATCTGTTGCCGGACACGGAAAAAAGACAAAAAGATAAATTATTTTTGCCTTTCTAAAATTCACTTTTGTTAATGTAGCTGCTAGGAAATTTAAGATTGTGTTTGTGGCTTGCATTATATTTCTGATGGATAGCACTGACTTAGAGGATTATTTTAAGAGTCAGTAAAATAATCTATTTGAACTGTTTTCTGAGCTGCAAAAACTATATTTTTATTATGATCGTTGCACAAAACTGGCGGGCTTTTGAGGCATATAGAAGTAAACATATGTCACCATCCAAGATTTTGCTTTAGTTTACTTTTCTTAGAGGAAAAAATGAAAGAAGAATATGTAGTTTAAACATGGTAATAGAACACTATACAACCTGATTTAAGCTAGGGAGTAAACGAACTTGCCACTTATTTTGAGTAATTTTTGCCTAAGGCATCACTTTGAATAAAGATAACTTTGATTTAGACATATATCTTTAAATTGTTGGACTTTTATTCCTGCCATCATTTCAGTAAGATTAGAGGACAATCGAAGTAGAAAAATAAAAAAAGCTTAAGAAATTAAAACAATCACTGTACCATCTTTAGTGTATAAGTATATATAAGTGGGTATGATGTGAAAACTTTAAATACTATGTATATAGGCTGTGGCACTTGAGTATACCTGGGGGAGTAATTGCATTAATAACTTATCATGTAACTTCATGGCTAAGAACAATGGCATCTAGTTTTATATTTACAGGGGAAGGAAGATCTATGAACCCCCTCGGTATATGAGTGTAAACCAAGCAGCCCGGCAGCTTCTGGAGATTGTTCAGAATCAAAGAATAAAAGGAGAAGAACTAGGTACTCAAGACCCTATAAGGGCTCTCATATTGTTCCTCTACTGCTGCAGTTACATGTGTGTATGATTGAGCATCTGACACACACACATACACACCACCACCACTGGTGCCAGAGCCAGTGTTTTTGCATTGTACTATTTCTTGTCATTTTTTTCCAACTTCATCTTAAATCCCGTAGGCTTCAAGTTGTACTGAAAGAAGAACAAGGCATTCTTTATAGTAAAATTAACACCATTCCAGAAAGGAAGGATTTTTTACAAATTTAATATAAATCTTGTATGATAAATATTTTGTATGCATAAATATTTTGATAAAATATAGAACTTCCATTTTAGCACTAATCAATGATGAGATCTGTACTGAGAAATGTATTTATTCTATTTTTTCTCATTTTTAACACTGAGACCAGGAATAGTTTTTTTTCAGGCTAAAGGCAGGAAAATTTATCCTTATATTTCTAACATCTACATACAGTGTGTGCTATATAATAAAATGTTTATTGTCAGTAAATCTTTAAAAAGTTTTTAAATGAATCTGTCATTACATAAAGGGTCTTCAAAAAGTTAATGGAAAGATTTGTATTATCTTTTAATTCCATTTTTCCACAAACATCTTGAAGTACCCTCATAGTCGGTTATAAGATGCTGACTGCCTTTGAACACCTATCCCCTGATAGAAAAAATACGTAAGAGATTGCTTATTTCATTCTCATAGCAGGCCTTGTTATAACGGTGAATAGTCTGCAAGAGTGTTCTATGTCCATAACTTTGTACAGATTTCCACGCATGCCCGCTTGTCATTGTGTAAATCATTTGCCCCATTTTGATCATTGTTCATTCCAGACACCTTTCCCAATTAAACAATAAAATCATTAAAGGGTCAGCCCTTCAGCTATAGCACCAGAGTGAATAATACTGAAGTTTATTAAGGTTGGTTATTTCAAACTTAAAAGCATGAGTAATGCCAAACTGCTCATTGTTTGTTAAGGGTTCTATAGTTTACAAAATATTCTCATATCCATTATCTTGGCCCTCACAACCACTATTTAAGAGAGATAACAATGTTTTTAAAAATCAGAAAACTGGGCCGGCCCGGTGGCGCACTGCTACAGTGCGCCGCTTGGGAGCGCGGAGGTGCTCCCGCCGAGGGTTCGGATCCCACACACAGACCGGTTCCCGCTCACTGGCTGAGCGTGGTGCGGGTGCAACATCAAGGGCTGCGATCCCGTTGCCGGTCCGGTCCGGTACGGGCACGACACTGAGGGTTGCGATCCGTTGCCGGACACGAAAAAAGAGACAAAAAGGAAAAAAACATAAAAATAAAAAAAAATAAAAATCAGAAAACTAAAGTTTGTCACTTAGCTAATTAAGTGGCCAAGCAGAAACTCAAATCTGTGTTATTTATCTCACAATCCCATGATTTTTCCAGTATATCTTGGTCAATATCAGCATAGCTAAAGCAATTTATTAAAAATATAAGTATGTAATAAACATTGTTTACTCAATCTTTTTAAAGACAAATGCTATGCAATTTTAAAGAGTATGTATACAGCTAATTGTTATCAAGACCTAAAAACTTTTGAAGACTTTGGAATTCGAAAGGGTAAGGTTGAGAAATGCTTCTTTATATGTCAGATAGTGCAAGTGATTTAGAAAAGCCTTGGATGAATCAGTGGATGATTGGTCTACAATGAGTGTCTAAGGTAACTTAAGATATTTGGGGCTTCTTTAAATATACTTGTGGTCTTGTGGTACTTATGTTAGTTTAAGTGTGATGCATTTGCTGAATTGAATGGCAGGGATTTTTTTTGTTTTTTGTCTTTTCAATAGCAATCACTGAGGAGACACTGTGTGTCGTGGTACTTATGTTAGTTTAAGTGTGATGCATTTGCTGAATTGAATGGCAGGGATTTTTTTTTGTTTTTTGTCTTTTCAATAGCAATCACTGAGGAGACACTGTGTGTCGGCTTGGCGAGGGTTGGAGCCGAGGACCAGAAAATTGCAGCAGGCACTTTACAGCAAATGTGTACCGTGGACTTGGGAGGACCATTGCATTCCTTGATTATCACAGGAGACAGCATGCATCCACTGGAGATGGAGATGCTGAGTCTATTCTCCATACCAGAAAATATCTCAGAGTCCCAGAGCACTGATAGACTCTGAACATAACATGTTTGGTATATGGTACACATATTTGTATAATAAATTAAATAGGTCTTTTGGTTTATCTACTAAGTATAAAACAAGTGACCAAAAAGAAAGAAGTTGACTTAACAATGCTTGGTTTCCTGTGGCAATGAATTTTTTCCCTGATATCATGTTGTCGCTGCTGTTTTGGCAACTTTTCAGGAGATACACACATGGAGCAGAACAAACTGGAAAACTTGTGGCTAGACATCCATAGACAGAATCATTTAGAAGCAGTTTTTATTTATGAAGCCAGTTTATACAAGGTATTTATTACAGAGTATAACTTAGAGGTAACAGGAATGTTAATCACTTGAATCCTAGTTTTAATGGGTAGGAAATGTCAGCAGCGGCAAGAAAAACATAAAGATTGGTAGCAGTTCACATGTTATTTTTATACTCTTCTACTTTCTTAAAAAGTCAACTGTCCTGACTGCAATATGAGCTGTCCTGACAGCAGCTGGTATTAGTGCACATAAGCAGAGATGGAAAGACTGAATTTCCACCATGAAATCATACTTCCTTAAAGCTCAGCTGAGTACATGCCACAAAATGACACCTTTTTGAATTGGCTGTCTTGATTAGCTGACATTGTAACTATGTGGCTCATCATCTGTTATATTCTGTTTAATTATAAATGTTCAGCCAGCCATGTACAGTTGGTTTTAAACAGCATCTTTTATATTCGAACAGACAAATGGAAAACTCACTTAGTACAAAATAAAATTTTTTAAATTTAAATTTGAAGGCAATAATGGATTAGTCAAGATTCATTATATCACTTAATTCAAGTAATATATCATTGTAGTTGTCCCTTGAACAAACAACATGGGGGTTAGGGGTGCTTCCAACCCCCGTACAGTCAAAAATCCACATATAACTTGTGACTCCTCCAAACCTTAACTACGTAAGTGCATCCTCTCCTTTTCCCTTGATCACAACCACACTGCACTGCACACCCAGAGCCCTGCATGGGTGGGGGGCATGTTGTTACTTAAGTAATAGTTAATACTTAACTACTAATAGCCTACTGTTAGGTGGGCTACTTAACTGTTAGGTATGTCATCCATTTATGACATACCTAACCAAAAATTTTCCAATATATTTACTTTTGACTTATTTCATTTGAGATAAAAAATTTAATATATATGAAGCATTCCATTTTCAATCTCTTAGACACAAAAGAGGAGAGAGCCAAGTACGTTTAAGTATCAACTCTATATTATTTTCTTCCGAGATGTTAAACCAAACATTTAACAATTATAAAATGAAGGACTTCCGGTTTTGGTATTGATGGAATAGGTTATAATATATAAATCCTTTCAATTATAAGTTGGGCAACATATAATAAACTGTCTAAAGGCACTAGGGAGTCACCAAAATCAGGCTAAGAACTATCCTTATATTGCTTTTCCTCTTGAGGCATTCCCAGACTGACTGGTGAGGGGTGGCTAGAACTTAAGAGAAAGATGCAGACTTGTCTTAGAGGAAGGAACTGGGGGCTGCTATAGGAGCTGAAAATCGAAGTAGGAGATCCTAGAAATTAAGACACCACAGAGGGAGGAGCATTCCAATCTTCATATAATCTCTTAAATCCTTGGCCAACTCCTGAACTGTGCATGGGCAGGGAAGACTTTAAAGAAGGTAAGCAGAGATTGTTACTCTCTATTGAAAAGGAAGACAGAGTTTTGAGTGTGAATTCTGACAAGTTAGAAGGGCTTATAAGCACTTTGAGCTGTCCATCAAAATGCCAGAATCGTCATGTATTAGTAAAGGCAGTGCCCAGGACTAAGAATGTGTGCTAAAACTAAAGACTTAGTGTAAAATCAATCCTCCATAAAAGCAAGGTGATTAATAATTTAAATGCCTGCTAGAACAGAGCTTAACACTTTTCAGAGTATTATAACAAAACTAATCTCTATAACATCAGCAATGACCAGAATGCACTAAAATATTATGAAGCATGCAAAGAAACAGGAAAATATGGCTTAAAAGAAAAAAAAAAGACATTAGAAAGAGATACTAACATAACCCAGATACTGGAATTAGACAAGGATTTTAAAGCATGTTCAAGGATAAGAAAGAACCTTGGTTGTAGTGAATGAATAAAAATAGGTCAGAAATAGAAACTTAAAGAAGAGAACCAAATGGTTGGGCTTAACAGCAAGGTGCAGATAATACATGAATAGAAGTTGTCCAATCTGAGGAGGGGAGAAAAAAAAATTGGAGGGATGAAAAACACAGCCTCAATGCCATGTGGGGCAGTATCAAGCAGTTTAACATATAAGTAACTGGATTCCCAGAAGGAGAAGAGAAAGAAAATAGAGCAGAAAAAAAAAAATGAGTAAAGGCCAAAATTTTTCCAAATTTGGTGAAACTGTCAATACACAGATACAATAAGCTTAGTGTGTCCCAAGCAGGATAAATACAGAGCGAAGTACACCTAACCCATCATAGTTGAAAATGATAAAAACCAAAGATAAGAGAAAATATGAAAAGCCATCAAGGGTGGTGGTGGTGAATTTAATTTGAGATGAAAATTTAGCTAGGTTTCTTTTATTTTTATCTGCTAAATCCAGCAACCTATTCTGTATGTAATTTAACCTCAGTATACATAAAGTTGTAAAATGAGAACTGCATTGTTCCTCAGCAGAAAAAGAAGGAACAATATTATTTTCAGTCTACTATCCTGAAATCCCAATTGGCAGTTAACATAGAGATACCTGAAGGGTGCATACGCTTGTTCGTTTATTTAGTGGTTTTTAGCTCTTTAATACTATTATTTTTTAAGGTTATTTAAAACTACCATACAGTGAAACCTTCCCATAATCTAGATAGAGAACACTTTCACCACCTAAAAGAACTCCCTCTGACATTCCTTTATATTTATCCCTCTACCTGTCCGTGACCCCTGGCAACCACTGATCTGTTCTCTTAATAGTTTTGCCTTTTTGCAAATGTCATATATAAATGAGATTCGCTTCTTTCAGCATAATGCTTTTGAAATTCATCCAAGTTGTTGCATGTATCAAAAGTTCATTTCTTTTTATTGCTAAGTAGTGTTCTCCTGTATGGATAGACTAGAGTTTATTTATCCATTCACTATTTGAGAGAGAGTTAGGTTGTTTTTACTTTTTAGTAATGATGTGTAGCGTTGTTAAAACATTCACATACAGCTTTTTGTGTGATTGTTAATTTTTATTTGTCTACAGTAGATACCCAGGAGTGGGACTGCTGGGTTACATGGGAAGTGTACCTTTAATTTTATAAAAAACTGCTAAAGTGATTTCCAGTTGAGCTGTACCATTTTACTTTCCCACCGGCATTGTATGAGAGTTCCCATTGCTCTGTATCTTTGCTAACACTTTATATTGGCAATATTATTTATTGTAGCCATTCTGATAGGTGTATAGTGGTATCTCATCACGGCTTTAATTTGTATTTCCCTAATGCTAATGATGGTGAACATCTTCTCATGTGCTTCTTGGCCATTCTTACATCCTATTTGATGAAGAATCTGTTCATGTCTTTTGCTACTTTTAAACTGGATTATTTTCCTATGGTTAAGTTTTGAGTGTTCTTTATATATTCTGGATACAAGTTATTCATCAGATATGTGATTTTCAGATATTTTCTCCAAGTCTGTAGCTTTTCCTTTCATTTCTTTAACCATATCTTTGGTGGAGCAAAAGTTTTTAATTTTGATGAAATCCAATTTATCAGTTTTTTCTTGCATGGATCATGTTTCTGTTACTATGGCTAAGAACCCATCACCAAACTCAAGGACACATAGGTTTTCTATGTTTTTTTTTTTTTTTCCTTTTTGTCTTTTTTCGTGTCCGGCAACAGATCGCAACCCTCAGTGTCGCACCCGCACCTCGCTCAGCCAGTGAGCGGGAACCGGTCTGTATGTGGGATCCAAACCCTCGGCGGGAGCGCCACCACGCTCCCCAGCGGCGCACTGTAGCAGTGTGCCACCCGGCCGGCCCGGCGTTCTCTGTTTTCATCTAGAAGGTTTAC